ATTCTCATAGACTTTATGTGACTCTATTTTCTACGGATATTATCAGATTCTCAAAAGTACCACTAAGAAAGCTGGTTTCCAGAAGTGCTTTTTTTTACAACAGAGTTTTCGAGTAGGAAATAAGACACCCTGCAGGGAAGATTGAGTACTTGTGGATGGATGAGCATCTGTCTATATATTATGTGGGAATAATGGAATATCTTCGAGTGTGGAAAACTTAACCCCCTTGTAATTACAAGAATCTCTTATGGTTGTGATCCCACCAATTACACTAAAAAAAAAAAAGGCTTGAAAGAATCATGCTTTCGCTGCCTCGTGAGTCATGAGTGGTGACAAACCAGTTCACATTAGAAACTTAGACTAGCTTTTGACTAATTGAATAAGTTCTCTCTTTTTTAAAGAAAGAACCTCATGTGAATGAGGAAAACTACCATAAAAAAAAATTCACAATTCCTACATTGTAATGCAAAACCTTCAAATTTGTTATATGCTTTATGCATTTCAGCACCTCTTTTTTTGTTGTTGCCAAAATTAGGAATGGATGGGGAGGGAGAAAACTCCCACACATAGGTACCGTAGGGGTTTGAACCCAAGACCACTTGGGAGCACTTCAAAGGTGTGACAAACCAGTTCACATTAGAAACTTAGACTAGCTTTTGACTAATTGAATAAGTTCTCTCTTTTTTAAAGAAAGAACCTCATGTGAATGAGGAAAACTACCATATAAAAAAATTCGCAATTTCTACATTGTAATGCAAAACCTTCAAATTTGTTATATGCTTTATGCATTTCAGCACCTCTTTTTTTGTTGTTGCCAAAGTTAGGAATGGATGGGGAGGGGGAAAACTCCCACACATAGGTACCGTAGGGGTTTGAACCCAAGACCACTTGGGAGCACTTCAAAGGTGTGAGCCAATCCAACTAACACCCCATTGGTGCATTTCAGCACTTAATTGGAAAAGTACTTTATTGAGAAGAAGAAATCACAAAGTTTTGTAGCTTTGTTGATGTAAACGAACATTCTCTTCACATTTCACGTGTTTTATGGGGAAATTTTGAATGGGAAGCTAGGGTTATATTCCTTCCCTTTGTTTTCCATTCAGATGTAAGAATCAAATTATACAAAGTTAAGAAGATTATTTCCTTTTCTTCTTCTTTCCCCATAGGTTAACTTTGCTTTAAGATCTCTTCTCATTTGTCGTAAAGTGTATCTTTATGCTCGAATTGGTGGGAAAGTGATGCCTTAGTGAAGACTAACATTTCAACCCACAACGAAAATCATTCTTCCACCAAAAATAAAAGCATTATCAGCCAACAAATGAAAAAGGCCGAGTTAAACCAAACAAGAAAAGAGGCCATAATTTCTATAGATCTCATCAATATACAAGGATACAAGGATGTTCGCCCGTTAATCATTTACAAATTTTCAACAGCAACGTGAGAAAGCACCATTTCAGGAATATTTCCGGATAAAGAAGCATATAACATTGCGAGTTTACTCATAAGCAAAAGTTCTGCCACCGGGGGGGGGGGGGATGACCACACCTGATGATAAAAATAAATGAATAAGCCATGTGCTAAATTTAAGAAGTAATAAATTAGACTGCCTATTGTATCAAATACTGAAAAGGCAGTTCTTACGGCACAAAAACCGCATTATACTCATGCTCAAGGCATATCACACATAAATCTGGCATCAGCCTCTTGCTTCCATCTGACACAGTATCATCTTTTTCGTTCGAACCTGGGAGAAAAAAGTTCAGCCTTTCAGTAAATTTTCGGGCATATATTGCATACAACATTGTAATGAGGACACTCATCAATATACCTTCATTATCTTCCCCAGATCTCTTAGCAGCTGCAGCAAGAACCCTGCACGGACAGGAATTTCATTATCTATTTGTCTCAGACAGAGAGAAGAAACAATGGAAGAAACAGAGTTGAATAAATTGGGCTTCTACCCAAAACAATTAACCTCTTTGGAACAGGCGGCCTATTTTTATGAGAGCCAAAATCAATACATGCTGTTTTCCTTTACAATACTACATATGCAGCGACTTCCACAAGCAATCAATTTCCAAATAAACAGACAAACTTAGGCGAAAATTACCTTCTCTGCAATTCCCAACCGCGCCTTCTTTCCAAGATGTATTGGACAGAATGCTTAGCAACCAAATAAACACCAAACACAGTCAAACCCAAAGATGCGTATTTGTACCACCTGGTAAAAAGATCTATATTAATTAGACTTAAGAAAAAGCACACCATTAAGAGGCACATGAGTGACATATCAATACACATTCAGGCTTTCATATAAACAACCTTGCCCATTTCCCAAGGTTTGCAATAAGCTGATCAATGGTTTTGGGAGAGACATAAAATGGCCCTTTGTGAGGTCGTTGAATCCGGATGGTACCAATGTCATCTTTGACAGCCTGATATAAATTTGAAACAATGAGTATACAAATGAGTACACCAACATCATAACATTTCAATGCACACAATCAAAGAACTGGCTGCAAATACAAGGGCGATTTGTTTATTAAACAACAGGTTAAAGCTGTTTTACACGAGTGCAAGTTCTTATAAGACACAAGGCTCAGTCTAGGAAAACATCAAGGTGTTTGGATTACATACATGCATATCATCCAACTTAAGTACATTTTGGTACCATACTAAACTAAAAACACTTGTAGAAGCAGTAAATCTATAATGTAAACTGAAGTCTATCATCTGAATATCAATTGTAATTTGTTGGCTTTAAGCTATTTCTATATGAAAGGATACAGTATCATATTAAACTACAACATACCTCACCAACAACACTCAAAGACGTGCCTGTTG